TATATATATATATATATATATATATATATACTCAGCTGGTTTTTATTAATTTACAAATGATTTTTTACGAAAAACATTTAAGTTTTTTTTAGCATAACAAGTAATGATCTTAAACCAACAAATTAAAAAGATAATGTATATAAAATATTGATTTTTGTTAAATCTCCCACTGTTTTAAAAATAAGCCTCAAAGTGGTTGAATGTACCCCACCGGTGGGGTACATTCGACCACCTAGAAGGGCACTTTCAAACATATCATTATCAGCAAAATAATTAATCAAATAAAATAAATAATAAATGTTTTCTTGTATTTTTTCGAAATAAAGTTTTTCAATCTGTTTCTTTTCAGGAGTGTTAGCATATACCAAGTAAACAGACTTGATTTCCTCTTTATTTATTTTGTCTTTAAGAAGCGTTAGGCAAGGGCCGCACATGTTCTGGAATCAGTTTTTAATTGTTAGAGTTATTCTAGTAGTTGCATAAGGAATGCGTTTTATTGGTAAATAAGAGTGGTAAATTATTTTGTAACAGTGTACCTATAACTCCTAGACTTTCACTTGCTTCTCCCATTAGGGTTCTCTTCTCCCATTAGGGATTTGTGACATATCTGGGCATGAAATCTTTTTGTGGCTTGAGGTTCAGACAGTGAATTATTGAAAATACTAGTAGTTTTTTCTAATACCACATTTTCAGTTCTTTTATTTCTATGTATGTTTTCGTTATATATTTTTGAGGGATCTAAAAGATAAGAGAAATAAGTTATTGTGATATTTTCAAGCGACGGTCGAATGTTTCCGAGCTAGGTAGGTCGAATGTACCCCACACGTGTTATATATAAATAAACGCTGTTAAAAGCCAAAATCAATTTCTTAAAGTAAACCAAACACAAAGGTTTTTAACTCAAAATATCATTAAACAATAAATAACATAAAGATTTAGGAGGTTAAAATTGGAAAAGAGATTCTCTGCGGTTTATTTAAAAACATAAAAAAATTACCTTTTGCATCAATAATTAGATTTTCTTCTATATAACCACTAATAGCTTATTAACAGACAAAACATGGATAAAAATTATAAGTGGTAACTTTTATCATATTAGGAAATATTTGAATTATTCCCTATATATCATATTAGGAAATATTTGAAATATTCCCTATATATATATATATATATATATATATATATATATATATATATATATATATATATATATATATATATATATATATATATATATATATATATATATATATATGTATATATATATATATATATATATATATACATATATATATATATATATATATATATATATATATATATATATATATATATATATATATAGGACGGGGGGAGGCAAGTTGATACAGGGGCAAATTGATACAAAGCTAATAAAATAGCTATTATACTAAATGTGTAAATAAAATTTGGTACCTATTTAATTCCATAACATCTGATGTAAAAAGATTTCCGCTCATTTCAAAGTTGATCAAGCTAGGAAGAACTTTGTAAATCAAACAACTTTAAAAAAAAACTTATTTACAAAAAAGATAAGTACATTTAGCTCATCAACCCTTCTACAAGTGGAAGGGTTGGAAGTCATTTCACAATGATTTTGCAAGAATCATTTCACAATGATTTTGCATAAAGTATTTGTTTGTTTGTTGCTTGTTTTAAAATTTCACTCGTATTAAATGCAACGCGGTCTAAAGGGGCATGATGACACAGATCACTAGGGGCAAAGTGATACACTGTATTATTTTACCCCTTTGGTAAAGCATTTGAATATGGCCAAAATTATTTTTTGTTTTGATATAAGCATTAATGCAATTAAATTGTTTGGTGTAGACAAATACTTTTTTTCTCGAAGAGATAGTAAATATGTAAATACGCTTAATAAAATAAATAAAAACAGTCTTTTGTATTTGTTTACTTAATCTTTTATGTTTGTTTGCATATTTTTTTTATTTGGTTACTTAATTATTTTTTAAAGCTTCATTTTCAAGTCTTATTAAATGTATCAACTTGCCCAATGCTAATTATCAATTTGCAACAGCACGGGGCAGGTTGATACACAAATCTTTACCTTACTTTTTGTACTGTATTTACTTTAATTATGTTCTAATCAATAAAATTGTGGTACTAAAATATGCAGGGTTCTTAGTGGAACTAATAAAATTTATTATTTCCACTCAAAATATAAAATTTAGGTTTTAATGTCAAAAAATTTGAAAAAGAGTATTAACGTGCCCCCCTCTGCCCTTTATGTATATATATATATATATATATATATATATATATATATATATATATATATATATATATATTTATAACCAGGTATTAATGAAAAGAAAATAAAGATAATTACCAAATTATTTTAATTTAAAAACCCAACGAACTTTTTTTGGAAGTTATATATATATATATATATATATATATATATATATATATATATATATATATATATATATATATATATATATATATATATATGGTTGTG